ATACCAGGGAACGGGAATTTCTTCATACCACTCAGCACAAAAAGCCAACGCCAAAAGCAAACTGCATTCTCTTTCTAAATACAACAGTTGCCGTAACAAAATCATTCTTGGTTTATTTGTTCTTAAACAAATGAAACTCGTCAACTCGCACCCTGCCGAAGCACTCTGTGGCAATCCATCGTGTCAGTCACAAACACTGCTTTCACAAAGATGCTGGAGCAAAAAGAAATGCCTTTCAAAGTGATTGAGCCCTTCCGCTTGGGCCAGACCCACAGGTCATGCTGAGTAAAGGTCTGAGCAAGGTTCAGGTCTCCCGATGAATGTACCTCTCCTGGGTCACATCCTGAGGGAGGCATCTGAAATAACCTGTGCTGAAGGGCCAGCAGCCAGCAAACCCTGCCAGCCCACAGACACCTACCTGCATGACACCAACCCCAAGACAAAACCTGTTCAAAGAAAGGCTTTTGGTAGAAGAGAACAAGCAAGGATCGATATTATTTACACAACCATCCCCCAAGTAGTGAAGGAGCACATAGAGCTGGAAGCAAGCACAGTGTAAGCAAAGAGGTTGGCAGACAGAGCACGGACTACTGGCTTCTTTAGCACACACTCTGTGGAAAACATGACCAGCAAAGGCCAAGAGGAAATTGCTTTCTGGGACTAGAAAACCTCTGGGACCAGAAACCCTTCAGGCACTTAAGGTTTCTGTGAAGACTTACTACTAATTAGACCTCAAGAAGAGAAATATCATTTTGAAGTTCTCTAAGTTGAATGAGAATCACTCAAGTAACACGGTGGGAAGCACAGGACCGTTTAAAATGTTTTTCTTGCATCTCTTAAGTCTCCCAACAATCCCCTTGTCCTGCAGAAACCCAGACAAGTAGGATTCGGATACCTAAATTTATATGTATATATATAATATAGTGTTCAGTGTCTTTGTGGATGCTCACTAGATATTGTACTTACTCTTCAGCTGCTGCCCAAGAAAAAGGTGGACCAGCTGCTGGTCAAGTGTCATGACACCAGCCTCATACAGACATCTGGGTCCCCCTGGACAGCTCCTGAATGGCCCCAGTCACCTGTGTCAAGGCAATGTGGTGCCACATGCATGAAGATCCCTACACACTGCAGCCTCTCCCACCACACGGCTCGGTCTCTGTGCTCGGACTGTCGCAGGGGGTCTTGGCTCTGAGGTCTCTCTGCAGTCCCTCCTCTTGTTCTTCCCCTCCTGCAGGGGCTTGACTTCAAAAGCCCAAAGAGCCGCTGACCATGGCTGTGAACATGTTGGAGCTTCTGCTGAGGAGCAGAGCGTGGTGACAGCCTTTGTGCTCAAGTGCTGTGACCACTCATGCAGACACTACTGAGATGACAAGCTTTTATTTTTGCTTCCTTGTTTCCCAATGTCTCTCTGTATGCAAATCGTGAATGTTTCATAACCATATAAATTAATCAAGGGGATTTTTTTTATTTTTTTTGTTCCAAGCCGGGGAAGGCTCATTAAAAGCATTTCTATTCTTAAACACTGTGCAGATTTAGCAAGCAATATTACAAATACACAGGCCCGGTGCCAAATAGCATGCATCATACTTGTACATGTAGTTCTCTTTAACTACGTTTTTGTTTGTTTGTTTTTAAGAACAAGCAAATATAGCACGATTTGCTGCTCTACCCCAAGAGTTATTCTGCCAACAAGTCAGAAAATTCTTAGAGGACACAAAGCTGTGCTTTCCTCTTAGTATTTTTAGTAACAGAAAAACAAAGCAAGTTGCTGAGTTAGTTTCTTCAGATAATAAAAAGATACAAAATGTCTAACAAGTGGAAAAAATAATCACAATATCCTAAATTAACCAGATCCTGCATTTATCTACTTACAAAAAACAAAAGCCTATGCACACTACGCACCACATGTATGGAAGTAAGACCCATGTGATACATTGCAGAGACATGATGCACTCCATTTGTCACCTTTCCTATCCTACCTGTCAACTCCCGGGAGGCAAGGAAAGCTTCCTCCAGCAGTCTGTGCTGCTGAGCAGATGCTCAGTGCCTTCTTTGGATTAAAATTTAAAAATAACAATACAAAACACCATCACCGCCAAAAAAAAAAAAAAGAAAAACACACACACACACAAAATGCCAGAGAAGTGTTTCCTTCTTTCATATGAATAAATTATAAAACTGAATGATAAAAGCAAAGGTTTCAGTTGCCTGAAATTATGGTAATGGGGAAAAGTACTGAGCAAAAATTGACTGAAATGGGGCTGCAAGCATGATTCAGCTCTTTACTGTCAGAAGTGCCCAACTTTTATACCAGTGCTCTTGACAGGAATGTTTTATTGCACAAGATCAGAGGAATAGCAGAATAACAGGTGAAGCAAGCATATTTGGCAGGGCAGGTGCAGCCCTTGGGTGAGCAGGAATGCTGCTGTGTGCAGGGGGAATAGGCAGCAGGGGAAAGGAGGGAAGCAGCAAGCAGTGCTGCAGGGTTGCTCAGCTGGGAACAGGATGCAGGAAACTTCAAAGCAGCACCTGCCATGATCCTCTCTGGGTAGGAAAAGCTGTTTTTTAAGTGTCACGTGCAGCAGCAGCATGAGCTGTGTAGAAGTGTCTGGGAACGTCATCTTTGCCCTTACTGTGATCTGGTCCTCACCCACACAGTGCTACTACCTTACACCATGTCACCGGTCCCTGCTGGATGGTGACAGTTCTCCAAGAGCATTCACATCACGTTTTTATCAGCTGATGATTCAGTGCTCCATCCCTTCCCGTGCCTGAGAATTATTCTGTTTGAGCAAACAGCCAAGAGGTTTTTGCTCTATACTGCACGTTGCTTCGGAAAGGAGACCCCAGAGCACTCAGAGCCTGCAGCTGAGCACCGCTCTGCTGGTGTCGGACCCCAGCACTGCCCCTGTGCTGCACGTGGATGTAGAGAGCTGTGTACAGGTGCTGCCTTGAGAAGAGCTGCTCTTCATTAGCTAACGTGGAAACGCACAACTGAAAACAACTTCTAAGTGTATGAAAGGTCAAAGGGAGAGGCCTTGAAGAGTAAGGGCAATGTTTACCCAGCTCTGCCTGCAAGGCAGGGAACGGGGGAAAAACAGAACCTGAAGGGCTGCTGGGATGGGATCCAGGCAACGTTTCATCAAACACTGTGGTGGTTCTGCTGCAGCCTTCTACCGGGCTAACCCTGACTGACTGAAGCATAAGCACATCTTTAAAGAGAAAAATGAGAAAAAGAAAAATGCAGCATGGAAATCAATTACTATCTTATGGAACTGTAAGAATTATTGCAGCAGGTTCTGCCCCTGAGTTTTAAGCACCTGAGTTTAGGAAGGAGTATCTGCTAGCTGGCAAATATTGTTTTTCAGCGGCGAAGAGGCATTAATCATTAATTCCAGCAGCCCAGCAAATAACTGCAGTTAGGCCATATAAACAGACATAAATGAAATAGGAGCTATGACACCCATGTAATTTATAATGGGTTTTCCACTTGTCTAAACATTAAGAGGTATCTTATTAAACAAATATTTTTTTTGGTCTATGTTTAAAGTCTGTTGTTTTCCTTTTATTTCACAAATTCTTTGGGACCAATGACTGTCTGTTTGCCTGTGTCTGTGCAGCTTCTACCACAGGGCACAAGTAAATGAATAAATAAGGCTTCTAGGTGATACTCTCTTCTAATTACAGTAGAGCATCGGAGAGGTTATGTTGTTAGTACTTTAGTAATAATATTTGCAGAACATATTTCTGCTTAAAAAAAAAAAAAGGAAGCATTTTATTTCCGCAAATAAAATTTAGAGTCATAGTAGTGTATAATAAAGCTCACGTCTACTACAAGCCCTTAGAAGTATGTTCATACAAGTACGGTACACCGATATAAGATCTTCAAATTGAAATTCATTAAAGATAAATCCTGCATAGACTAGGAATAAAATATCCATGATATGCAACATGCTTCTGGATTTCAAACCACAAGTGTTACTCTCATCTTCTACACCTAGAAGACACCAGTATTTCAGTTTTTCTGTGGGATGGCGTGTTCAGCTTGTGTCACTCAGGCTTTTCCTGCATTACTTTTGGTTTCAGTTTCCCCCCGCAGGTACAGGAAGAACGTCCCCTCTACCCCAAGATCCTGCCCATCTGACACACAAGTGGCAGACACAAACCCAGGCCACTGCTCCCCTCCCGCGATGCCCGAGGAAGGGACCAGACATGGGGCGAGCGGGGACGTGGCCGTGGGCCAGGCAGGGATCCCGAGCACGGGCCGGACCCTAACCCTCCATGGCGCCACTCTGTGCTCTGTGTGCCATCAGAATTTGGCAGCATGGCCCCAGCACTGTCCCACAGCAGAAGTGTCACACAGCTGGGGGGCTGTGAGGATGCCGGGCCAGCTCGGCATCAAGAAGCGGGGAGGCAGCCACCCATCCCTCCATGCCTCCATCCACAGGTCACCGTGCCCAGCTCCGGTGCCTGCCCATGGCAGAAGCCAGCAGCACGAAGGCTGCTGTTGGCACCTCCTTCCTTTTACAGGTTTTATGATGATTTAAGCGTATCGCCACCAGCTCGCTTCCCACGCTCCCCCAAATCCTCAGCACTTTCGGCAGCACGCGATGAGGAGCAAAAACAAGGCCGTCTCCGGATTAACACAAAGAGAAATACGATGCATTCAAAATTCATCATAATGCATTATAATGCATGAATACATATACATACAGCATATATTCATGTAACACGTAATTCTGTGCACAGAGGATCTGTATGACACAGCGCCCAGCTGCCCGGCGCTGCACCCTCACCTCGGGGCGCAGCGACCCCCCCCCCCCCCCGGCCAGCAAGCCTCGGTAACGCACCCTGGGTCTGTCTGTCCGTCAGCCTGTCGGTCTGTCCGTCAGCCTGTCGGTCTGTCCGTCTGTCCGTCTGCCTGTCCCTGTGTCCGTCTTCACAGCCACCGCAGCCGGAGCCGCCCCTAGGCCGGGCGGTGCCTTGCGCGTCAGCGGCACCGGGGCCCGGCCCCCGGCGCTGTCCCTGTCCCTGTCCCTGTCCCCGCCCGGCCGCCGCCGTCACCTGGGGCCCGTCCCCTCGGCAGGAGGCAGGGACGGGGACACCCGCCCCGAAAATGAGCGAAAAAAAGGTAAAATTGGGACTGCCGGGGAGCTCCCTGCGCAGGCGTGGAGAGGGGGCCTGCGGGAGCTGGGCTGCGGCGTGTAAAGAAAGGTGCTCTGGGGGCCTTTTAGCTAAGGGGTTAAAAGTAATGGTAATTAGGACAGATAAACCCAATTTTACACACACACACACACACATATATATATACATCTTTTTGAGGAGGAATGAAGTCTCTCCTGAACGTTTATTCCCTCAGGAAATCAAACTATCAATCATTTTTTGGGGTTTTCACTTTCTTTTTTTCACCCCAATCGTATCTTTGAGAGCTAGATGTTATCATTTGAAGAGTTCTTTCTTTATTTTTTTTTAATGATTGATGTTGTGTGAAATACTGGAGATGGAAACAGCACTGTGACTTAATGCCCCATCTCTGCAATAGCCCATCCTTGGGTAGTGCAGTCGGGTTTCTAAAAAGGAGCTTAAGGTAGCTCAATTTGGCTTCTAAAAACTACCCTAATGAGCCTAGGGGAATTGGGAAGTGCTGGTCTCTTGCTGCTAATGATAAACATGTCTTTTTTTTTTTTTTTTCCCCAGTTCCTCCATCCGCTAACACAGGGAAGGCCTTGGAGCTCCTGGACATGTTTCCCGACGTGCGCAGGGAGAACAGATCTGCAGGCAGCATCTTCCCTGTGAATCGGCAGTCCTGGAAAACGCTCCTGGGTGCTGGAGCAGTGCTGTGCACCTCTGGCCTATGCCAATTTCCAGGGACGTCTGGGGACTTAGCGTGGCTCAGCAGCCAGTCCCGATATACAACTTGTTTGGACCTCTGTCCTGGAGCAGAACCAAGATTACTGAACTGGACAGGAGCTGTGTCAGAGCAGCTGCCCTCTGTTACCAGAGAATAGCTCTGCTCACGTACAATTTACTGCTGTAAAGGGAAGCAAAAACAAAGTACAAAGAGGGCCTTTGAGCCCCTGTTATTGTCAGGAGGAATTCTCTGAATGAGTAGGCCAGGAAGGGAAAGCTAAGGTTCTTTCTGTGAGCTGAATTTATTTTAAGAGTAATAAATAAAAGCACCTTAGGAAAATACCATCTACTTAGAGTAGAAGGTATTACTTTTCTGTTACAACAAGTAGTAAGGGTTTCTACTTCCGAAGTGCTGAAACACTCTTCTTATCTATGTACTGTTAAAGAATCACCAAAGAATCTGAGCAACTTCTCTGATTTTTAAAAAGGAGAAGTGATTTGAATATATGCTTACTTCATTCCTAAATACTGAAAAACATAGAATATTGTCTTTTTATGTAATCTATGGGTTGATTTTTCCCATAAAATACGAAAATATGAAGCAAGTTCTGGGATTAAATAAAAATTATTAATTTGTCTTGCAGCAGAATACCCCAAACTTTATTGGATAAGAGCCATTATGCAAAACAGTACAGAACCGTGTAGAGATCAATATGAACAACAACTTATTCATAATGATGAAGTACAGATTATTCCAGAAGTGTTACATAAAAGTGTCTGCAGTGACCTTTTTGGTCTGAAACATTTGTCACTTTTGGTTCGACAATGAACCAATAAACCATTTTGGTTCCGAGAAATGATTGACAAAGAAAGGCCAGATAGAAAAGACAGAAGTGAAAAAGGAAGACCAAGGCTAGCTGGCAATCAAATAGCTTTCTGCAGGATTGCTAGTATAAACTAGCAATCATTTCAGAAGGCAATTCAGAAGGCAAGTTCCTGTTACACTTTAACATAATAAAAATGATTATCAATGAGATTTATAAATCTCTCCATTATTTCAATACATTTGTGAAATAATGCTGCCTCTAAACCACACAATTTTGCTAGCAAAAAATCCCAATTAGATACAGTCACATGTAGCAACAGAAGATATACAAGCAAGAGTTCTTAATGAAAAAGGAAAAAAAATAATTATGATAGGGAACACATATCTCTTTCAGAGTTCTGTTCAAGCTTCTGAACTGTTTGTTTATGCCATTTCAGTGCTCAATTCCTTTTTAAGGCTTTTTTGTTGTTGTTGTTGTGTCCCGTTTCTGTGTCATATTGCATTACCTCTTTCCATAAGGGTATGGTGAGCAGATATTTTCCAGGAAAGACAGGAGATTGGAAAACATCAGATCTTACCAAGATGACTGTTTGCAGTGAGCAGCAGAGCATGCATGTAAAAGGACCGGCCACTGATCATCATAACATCTCCATTTTGTGGTTCTGAAGTGGAAGATCTGTCCAAGACCTCCTGGATTAATTTCTTCAGAGAAGTGTGTTTTTTTGTGGGGGGATCTACTTAATTCATTTTATAGCTTAATTTGGTCAATATACCCACAAAATTTTCCTAATCTCAGTCATCTGCACTGAAATTTCCTATTTTATGTTCTGTTCTCTACTTTTTCATGGATGACTGGGGCCATATGCTCCAACTACTTTCCATTCTTCCTCTTGCCAGCAAAACAGGCTCTCAGTTTGCATTGAGCTCTATAATGCTGTCTGGTGAGAGATCCAGAGGGACCCATTGGATATTGCTCAGAGCATCTACCTCAGGGGAAACGGCTTTCAATTCAACAAGCAAAATTTGGGATAATTGCAGCAGAAAAAAAAAATCTATTAGTATAAAATATAGCATCCTAGGAAAACACCAGGAAAGACTGAGAAAACAGGAGGGAAAATAGAAAAAAAAAAAAAAAGACCAAAAGGACTGGGAAAAGAGAATAAATATACTGTGGAACGGGATAGAAATGAGAGGGGTGGAGTCTAAAATGGGTGTAAATAAGGGAAAGTGATGACTTAGGCTAGTTCTGTTGCCAGTTCCGAATTTGCATAGAGGAAATAACTGTACGTTTTCTGTGAAGTTCTCATGCTATTTTTGTCCCGACTGTTTTCACACCAGTGGTGGTGTGCCATGACATGATTTCCACCAAGGTTTCTCTGACAGCTTCCCAGGGATGCAGCTCTGGTGCTGGTGTGAACGGTGGAGGCTTGCTACTGACATTATCTAACCCGCTGATCTGAGGGGATTTCTCTTTCTACACCTACAGCTTCTTAATGCTGTAATACATCAATTCCAGTTACTGAAGCATAAGATATTTTTCTCCCTGCTTCAGCCAAGCAAGAGGGACTTGATTCTACAATAGCTCTTAAAATCTGCACTTACAATAAATAGTAGTACAATAAAGTACTACTCTGCTATCGTGACATCAGTTCAACTTATTTCAGATTAAAACTGTGACACCCATTGCCTAAGAAGGGCAAACCTGTGTGCATCTATGTTAGCACTTTATTTCAGTTCAATTACATAGTTTTGAAGCAAATTAGGTTGACCTCCTCTCCTCCTCTTTGTCCTGTCTGGTGGAGCATCCCCAGGACACACAGAGGAAACGTTTCACCTGCAATATAGCAGGAAGCTGTGCTCCAGCCACAAATGGAGCAGCCGAGAAACACAAACCCGACCAAGCAAGGACAGCATGGAGGCTGCTCTCCTGCTCAAATTAGGGTGCAGTGCAGAGCTCTTCCTGTGGTGCCATCCCACGTGCTAACACAGTGATTAAAACACAATGATGCTAGCCCCATGTTTATGGCCTCAGCTATTTCCCTAGGCTGGGGTGAAGCTCGACACCCAGAAGATGCTGCAGGACTGCTTGGATCCAGACTGCTTGATCACATTATGAAAAAAATAATTACAGATCCAAAAGAAAATTCTTGAGTGCACCAGATACCCTTCCTTGAACTAGAGCTGCAGTTTTAAAAGATGCTTGGTGTCTCCGTGTTGTGGGAGGTGTAAGGATTAAGAGAAGAGTGAGAAGAAAGAAAGGAGCTCTTCCAATATTTCCTGTTATTTGTTTGTGTTCTATGGTGGAAAACAATTTTCCCCTCACAATGTTGTCATTTTGTATTTGGCAAGCATTGATTTTTTTTTATTTATTCATTTTTTTTTAGCTTGTTTGCAGTAAAGCATGAAATGAACACATTTGCTGGTGCTAGTGATTTTTAGCCCTTTTCTATGTGTATGTATAACAGTAAGCAATCGAATAAATTGAAATAGTTGTATCCAAGAACACAGCATTCCTTCAAGCAGGTTGGACAGATGCGCTGATACCTAAAGTTGCTGGAGGATTGAAACCCTTAGCCTTGGGTTTTATGTGAGCAAAACTAAGGGAGTTTTTGATGAAAACAGAACAAGCAAATTAGTACACTGGAAATGTTAATGCCATTAATGTAGTAGATTTAAACTTGATTTTCTGAGTGCAGTGCTCTCATACTCGGCAGCATCTGCTAAGTTTGCAGTCTCAAAGGTGCCTGCCATAGGAAAACAAGGTCTGCTCAAGCAAAATTGGGTCAGACGGAGGGAGGAAGGGATAGAGGGAGGGAGAGAGAGGGAGTATTATTAGCATTCACATGGAACATGAGGAAGGACTGTTTATTGTGTTTCAATTTTTCCCCCTTAAGTAGTTCCAATTTTCTGTATTATATCTCATGTGAAGACAAGCTAAAATGGAAGGCCTCTCTGTTTCTAGAGTGAGCAGGAAGAAAGGTATCAAACGAGAAGAACAATTAGTGAAAACTACACACTGCCTTTTCAACTCCAGCAGAAACCAAATGCTTTATTAAAAACTGAAAACCATCAAAAAGAGCTACGATCCATTGCCATCCTTGCTGTTGCAAAGAGTTAGCTGGCCAAACTGCAAGTCTTGCATGGCATTCTGAAGTACAAATAAGCCAGCATGAAATAAACAAGAATATTTTTAAAGGGACTCCTCCTTTACGCATTTGATAGCAGCAGAGGAATACAGGCTTCCTTTTCCCTTCTCCCCTCTACCTTTGTTTCCTACAAGGTGTTTGTTGTTTCCTCGCTTTATTTCTGGCCAATTTGGGTTCTGTTTGCTTTTGTTTTTCTAGGTCAGGTTTAACAGATTAACACAGAGTCATTATATTTATTTGCACAGATTCACCAGGCTGACAAAATCAGCACCCAGGGCAAATGCCTGAGCCACAAAATATACAGCCTGCAAATCCTGCTCGATACTTAGGACTATTTCAGAGCAGATGATAATAGTGTAAAACAGCGGCTTGCTGGAAGAGTCTCAGGTGCTGTTTTTCCATCGGTAGTTTCTTTCTGGTTCTTCGCTGGCTTCTGAAATAGATGGGTATGGTGGTTGTTCAGTAGTCCCCCAGCCGCTGTGGTCAGGGCAGATACAAACATCTCCTTCAGACGTTTCAGGTTGACTACAATTTAATTTATTCTCTGAAAACATCTGGGTTCCAGTGTCTGTAAAGGCAGCCAAGGGCAATTTTGTACCTCAAGAGGGAGGCATCTGGGTCAGACTGTCTGTAAATGATAGTGTTTTTTTTTTTCTTTTGGCCATTGGCCATTTGGTAAGCACAGAAACTATGTGGCATGTGAAAGGCATACGGACTACTCTTCACTCCCCACCATTGTTCTGATACGTTCATAAAAAGAGGTGGAACAAGAACAAACTTGCGATTTTACCAGTCCAAGGACTCTCAGTTAGTAAGTCCATTTCCTCTATTTGTATTCTGTTTTTTCTTTTGATGCAAAGAAAATCCCCATGCGCCATTTATTTATTTATTCCACATCTGAAAAACGATGACAAGATTACCCATCCTTTATCAGCCTTAGAGGGAGACCTGTTCTGAGCAGATTGTGCATGTGTACTTCTAAACGAGCATCTGTTTCATTTGGCAGATTAACCTACAATTTTCACCACACCGCAGAAGCCTGTGCAGAAACCTCACCCAGAGCCAGAGGAACAGAGGTGGGGCTGCCCCGCTGCCATGATTTCTGCTGTAGTCTTCCAGGCAGTGTCCATGCAATAACTTGCTAAGAAAACTTCTTGTTGCCCACAGGCAAAAGGAGTTGAGAGTAACTAGCAAGGGGAACCAGGGGAAGCCTGAAGGGAAGCACTAAAAAGGCAGGAGGAATGAGTGGTTTTGAGAGGCATTTGGTTGATGGTTTTTATCAGAGATGAGCACAGACAGGAGGAACCAAGTTGGCAGTGAATATTTTAAGAGAAGCTGTAGCAAGGTGGCTACAAATGAAGATTAAGAACAGCAACGTAATTAGGAAAAGCAGGTTTGGAAAGACAAAGACCTAGTGGGCCTGGCATTACTGACAGAACGGTGGTGGTACTGGGGAAGTGACCACTTTTCATAACAGCTGAAGCATGTACACTTGTTCTAATCACACACAGAGAAGAAAGAACATTTCCCACTGGTACTTTGACTGCAAAGGGTCAGGACTTAAACCTGTGTTGAATATCCAGCAGCTGAACAAGTTACCACACATCAGCTGAGTTACAATAACTGGTGCTGGTTCATGTAAATGCCATATCATACTATCTCATTTAGCGGGCAACAAGAAGAATTTAAGTGACTGCTATCATCTTGCATTCCCTTGCTTTGCGATCATAGTTTGTGGGCAGCTTCCACAGCTCAAGGAGCAGATTCCTGCTACTTTGCAGGAATTCTCGTGCCATTATCTTCCCTTAGCCCCATCACATGGTCTACATGGACTTATGCTCTTGTACCTGTCATTCAGGGGGCTAACCAGAATAAACCAGAATATAACCAGAATAAATACACTGGTGCAATTCCTGTTAATAATGTATTATGCTCTTTTAAAGCTATTGCAAATTAGTATAACTCACCCTGTCCTTAGCACAGATATAAGCTTATCTAGTGCCAACTTAATGAAGTCTTTGACAAGGCTGTATTATTTTAAACATAACTCTGTAGTTAGAAAGGTACTACTCTCATATGGGGGTACCACTCTCTATTGTAGTCAAACTGTATTTTTGGTTCATCTCAAGGGGTCTCGTTTAGTCTCTCAGCAGTTAGTCAAGTGTATCAGGTATCTTCTGCTCAGCACGGCAGGCTTCACCCTGCTTCTTAACCATGTACTCTGCACATTTCAAAGGAGTGCATCCATTGCCTTAAAGGCACTGCACTGAATAAATGCCATTTTTTTTCAAGTCTGTACGGAATAAGCAGTTATGCTCATGTAATATTTAAACTTGTGATAAAATTTACATCATACGCACTAGTATATTTGAAATGGTGTTTTGATTGTCCCATAAACAGACAGAAAACACATTCTAGGGTGCAAGTGGTGCCGAACTACTGTTGCTTCTTGGCAATCAGCAGACTCAACTTTGTGAGCTGCCTGGTTGACTTGCAGCAGTATCTCAGCACCCCAAGCAGCTTCTGGCTAGCTATTACCTCATCATGAAGCCATGCATTCAATGGGTCGATTTCCTTCACTTTGTAAATTTACAATGAAGGAGCAGTGCACTTTGTGCTACTTTGCATTGATCTATATAAGGTGGTTACTGTGAAACGATCTCAAGTGGGGAATTCAAAGCCCAGCAGGCACTGTGCACCAGTTCCTCACACAGATGCACTTGTTTGACGTGACGGATGCCTTTGTTTGCTTTTAACATATTTCACTTCTCATGTGTATTAAGTGAAACCACACAAATGCATACTTATGGCAAAAAAAAGTGCTCCCCCAGGGAGGTGTTGCAGAATAGATCTTCTGCTGTACCTGGTCTGAGCTATTTCTTGTACAGGCAAGTCCTAGGGTGCACATCGTGGCTTTGTCTGCTCTTAATGACTTTAATGGGAGGTTTATTCATTATGTTGTGTGGCCAAATAAGCTAAGGCCAAAGACTCTGTGACAGATGTGTTACTTAATTAGATATGCTTTCAAGTAATTGAGGGACTCTTCAGTTTCTGCTTATGCCTAAATTACTTTTTTTCTGATCCCAAATTTCAATATATATATATTTTTTAGTTTTTTAATTACCTTGTAATCACCAGTATGGATATCAGGGGAACTTTTGTGGTGGAAAGAGTGGTAAGAATTTCCTAGTCAAATTGCTACAAAACCCTTTGGTCTGGCCTTAGGATTAGCTGGCGCGGTAATGTGAGTAAGGAGGATTGCAATGCCTCCTGTCTTCAATCAGCCTGCGGCAGGGGATTCCCTTGTGCACTTGCTACAATTTCAAATAAATATTTCCATGCTGCTCTGTGCCATTCTCACTTCATTAGCGCAATTAAGCAAGGAAGTAAGTCTTGTTGCATGGATTTTTTCCCCATAAAGTTGCTGTATTCAAAATAGAGGCAGGCAGTGAGCAGCCTGTACTGCTGTAATTCAGCAGTTTCAGATAGCAAGTAACACAGAGGATGATAAGAAAGAGTGAGAGGCCTTCAATTGTTTGAATTTCATTTCTCCACTACTACAAAGTATCTCTTGAGTTTGTAATTGTGTCTTTGAAATATTCTCCAGTACCGCTAGATTTATGTGCATACATTGTCCTCCACAAATTCAAGTTTTAGTACTCCCTTTAACTTCAGTTTTGCCTTTGTAATGCACTGCCTAACAAATCAAATTGCCTCTTAAAAAAAAAAAAAAAAAAAAGCTTATCTTTATTTTAAGAGAAGCTAATATCTATCATTTGAAAGAGGGACTAGGAATTGAGCCTGCAATGGTCTCAGCATTGTAGCATTTTTGTAACAATGTTAAGACATGAGGAATGTTCCCTGTGTCTTCTTTCCACCTAACATGCCCAGCATATGCCATAACCATTCCATCCAAATGGGTAAAGCTCCCTTTGCTCTGCGCATTGTTTTTCTTCAGCCACTTTGCTGCATCCCCAGCCTTGCCTCAGCAGGTCAGCTCTGTGAGTCCACTCCAGTATTTACCAGTGGTATTGCAAAAGGATGGGGAGTGTTTCAGTCAGAACTGGTCCAAGCACTATTTTAGCACGAGAACTTTCTTGGAAAGAGAGCGATTTATCAATGTGAAATCTTTCAGCCAGTTTGGAATACCTGCATTGTACGGAGGCAACATTAGATACCAAGGGAGCAAGTAGTAAGTTGGATCTCTTAGGACATCACACCACCATCAATGTGAATACCATCCATGAAACTGGCAGCAGGAACGTAGCCATGGCTCTCACAAAAACCACCCTGAGCAGCTGTTATTTCTCACAAGAATTATTGGTGGGGTAAGCTCTTCCATTACAGCATCTTCTCTCTGCTAAGGGTTTGTAACATTTACTAATGTTACATCTTTATTCAAGTTTCAAAATGCTGCTGTATTTAAATGTTACCATTTAGTCATTGCTCATCCTAACAATACATTTGGAAACTTCAGCATGGATGTTGCATGTCTGCCACGGGATAAAGAAAACCAGCGTCTCTTTATTCCAACCTTGAACCATAACTAAGCAGTTAATATTGAGCGCATAATACGACCCTTTATTCCCTAGGCCCAGTTACTTCCCTCTAAACGAACACAACATCCTCTTAATGGAGGCACAAATCTTCACGACAGGAGCTCCAACTGCTGATCTACTGGCAGAAAACTGATTAGTAAGCAGTGAGCAGGGTTAGGTTCCTGAAGGGGGGCATCAGTGCCTGGAACCACCTTGAGGGAAGTTGCTGTTCACCTCTGAAATTCTCAGGGCACTGCTTCCCATTCCATTTTTGATACTCATGTCCCAAGAGGAGCATCACAAGGAGAAGGCCCTACAGAAATATCCACTTGCACAATCCCTCTTCTCCAATGGCTGTCGTACGCAAGCAGGTGTGCTTGGAGAGCTCCTGTGGTTCCCTATCATGGGTTCCTGGGTTCCTCGGGGTCTCCCCAGCCAGCACGGGTGCAGGCACCCCACCTGCTGGAGAGGACAGGGTGCAGGCAGATGCCCGGCTCAGCCTGGAGTGCCACCTATTGAATCACCACACGGTTACACGCTTAAACCCAGACACTGCATCTTGAACCACCCCACAAGTCGGCGTCTCATTCAAAAAAAAGATATGCTTAACTATTTTTTTCCTAATCTGAGGGGATAGCATACATTTTCTGAGCAGTGATCTGCACAATACTGACAGCCTAGGGTCTGTGACAAAACTACAGAATTTCAAAGGGCAGTCCATGAATTCTGCAGATATGCAATCTCCCAAATATATACATATATATTTAAATCTAAGGCCTACAGTGTGTTATTTTATTAAAGCAAATCTTTGAACACCTCCACCCGGCTTGTTAATACTATAGTTATTAAGATTGGAGTGGCACTCAGGCGAATGGAAGTGTTTCACCTGGCTTTTGGTCAGAAATGTTGCATCTTGCCTAGACTACCAGGGCTCAATGCTGGAAGAAGCAAATGGTTTCAGTTCTTTAGCTTCTCAATATATTTGGTGTAAGCAGCATTTTGCGGATCTAGGAAAACCAACAACACAATTAATTCCCTGCTTTTTGATTGTTATTTTAAAAGGTGGGGAAGTAGTTCAAGCATTCTTTGTATTTCAGATATTAAAGAAAAAAATTACCTGTCTCATTCTGTCTGAGTTTCAGTATTAGGTCTTTTCTACATGTAGACAAAATGTTCTGATTGTTGACCAAGGCTCAGTGCTTTTGGATGAAGACTTGGAAGCAAAAATACATACACAACTCTGTGCAGAACAGGGCACCTGAAGGAAACCATTTTGGGGAGGGAGGAATGAGATCCAGAAGTTAACGATGCCTCCCCTGCTCCAGAAAATGGGAGTGATTGGTACATTCAATAAAGAAAAGAAAACTAACCCTGCCTTCCAGTACAATACCCAGAAGGGCTATCTTTTCACCAGGTAAAAATTCTTTTGCAGACAGTGCAATGAATTTAAGTACTTGACCACTTACTTAAACCATCATCTAATTAAAAAAAATCATTGCAATAAGTTATTGCATTCTCCAACACCACGCCATCAACACCAGCGTCTTTAGACCTCGGAATATGAGCTCCCAACGGGATGGTGCCATCTGGAGCACTGGGAATCATATCCGATTCTCTCACCAGGTTAATAAATCCCACAGCACCTTCCAAGGAAGAAAAGCACCCTTCCTTTTTGTATGGGGGTAGATCAATTGCAGGCTCTTTCTCTGAGCCTGCAATTGATCTTTCTTTTTTGCATGTACTGCTTTTAAACTATTGTCCAGGTTTCAGAAAGGACAGAGTTAATTTTCTTCCTAGTAGCTGGTAGGGTGCTACATTTTGGCTTAGGATGAGAAGAGTGCTGATAATATGCTGATGTGTTAATTGTTGCAGAGCAGTGCTTACACCAAGCCAAGGACATTTCAGCTTCTCACTCTGTCCTGCCAACGGGTAGGCTGGGGGTGCAGCAGGAGCTGGGAACCAGGACAGCTGACCCTAACTGGCCAAAGGGGTATTCCATACTTTATGGCATCATGCTAAACAATATATAGGGGTGGCTGGCCATGGTGGGGGTGCCGGACTGCTCGGGGCTAGGCTGGGCATTGGTCAGCAGGTGGTGAGCTGACAAGTGATGCATTGCGCACCACTTGTTTTGTACATGTTATTATTCTTAGCACTATTGTCATCATTATTGTTATTATTATTATTGTTATTATTATTTTTGTCTTAATAAACTGTCTTTATCTCAACTCACAGGCTTCACTTTCCCATTTCTCTCCCCCATCCCAGAGAGGGAGGGGGGAGGGTGAGCGAACAGCTGTGTGGTGTTTAGCTGCCGGCCGGGTTAAACCCCAACCACCATCTACCACTTATTTGAAATACGAGCCCAGAATGCTTTGATAGGAGTCCCTGAGATGGATTTTGGAGATGTTTTCCATTTGAACTTCAAAAAGCTCTGATGTTACCCGAGTTGTTGGCTGGAATTGTCCTAACAGCAGCACGAGCATCGTAAAGCTCAAAGCTTCTGCAGCCTCCTCCCAGGTCCCGCTGAGCCGCAGGTACCACCAAACACTTGTGCCTCATGTGCTGCCACAACCGAAGTCTGGGAAAACAGCAAAACACTGTTAAACTGGACGTGCCTGTGAACAGCATACATTTGAGAAAGGTAAAAGCAGCTAGTCAGCATATTCAGTCTGCAAAACGAAGCGCTGAGGCACAGCTCCTTGAGCTACCAGCGACACATCTTAATAAACCATCATAAGTGTGGCTCTGCTTGACCCTACAGTTTTGGTGCACTTTGGTGTAAGGTGTGGTCAGTCTGTGCAGCAGGATGTTTTGTGGGGGGAAGGCACCTCACAAACTTGGGGGCACCTTAGGGGTCCAGGTTGAGAGGCCTCCCTCAACAGAGCAGGCACGTCTTCGTGGCATCAGTTACATGCAACAGCTGAGGAAAAGGAGGTGGTGCTTGGTAAAGAGATTCCAAACCAAAAACATCAAAGGTAAGGAAAACGCTGAGGGTGTTGCAGGCAGCTTTTAGAACAGGGAAGGGGGACAATCTATTAGAGCGACAGAGCCTAATTTAGGTGAGTAAATAATAAGATAAATAATAACTTGCAGTTAAACAAAAAATGTTCTGTTTACACTTGAAATTACAGCAACTTACAGTGAGTCCTAAATGGATATAACCCATTAAGGAAACTTCAAGCAGTTTTAGAGAACCTGATCACGAATCCAGAATTATCATGAAACATATAAAATTGGTTTCTGCTGAACTGATAGAATTAACTTGCAATGCTGGTTGCTTATTTTGCATATACTAAAACCATTCATTTTATTCCATTTAGCAGCAGCTCTGCAATTAGTTCACTAAGGAAAAAACAGTCAAAATGAAGCTTGTGATGTGATTCAAACTGGATCAGCTAATGAAGTGATCCAAATTGGAAAACTGAAGTTAAAATTTCTCAACAAAAAGCAGCGTGGTTGTGTTTAAATCGAGGGTATTTTCTTCACTCAGGGAGAGGGGTAGTATAGGAGCAAAGACAACCAAATACAACTTCCTAGGGAGTGTGGGGGATGCTCTGGGGGTGGGTTGTGGTTGTTTTTTTTTGTTTGTTTGTTTTGGACAGTAGCATCAACACAGAAGGATCATGAAAAGACAGCCTGAAATCTTTGCTTCGGTATCAGGAAGGACAATGAGCAGAAACCTCCGCACAACTCACTAACTACAGAAGATATTTCATTTATTTAATCAGTTAATTTTAAATTAATAACATTTGATAACGTCTTTTTTGCATATGTACCCAGCACATTCAGCATAATTTTACATAACTTGTAACTTTAAAGTGTTGCATTTCATTACCGTCAAAATGCAGTTTGACACAAATTGAGGGGAAATAAAAAGGAAACATACCAGTCAGCATTTCTACCAGCATAATGTAAAAAATTAGATTTCTAAGTGTGTAACAAGCCGTATAGTATTTCAACGTGAATACAGTGCATTTTTACGGATAGTCAGAAGGAAGAACCAAATATAATGTAAAAGCTGTACCTAGATGCAAAACCACATTTTAAAGATTACAAATTGTTGAGCATCAACCTTTCAACAAAAACCTTTACGTCTACCACTTACAATAACCAATAAATTGACTTTTTAACCTATATTGATTCAAATCAGCAACTTCTTATGAACTTGATATCCACACTTGAAACAACGTAAAGAAACTGCAAAGTTCAGACAACCAAACACAAACTGCAAAATAACTACCTTAAGACTCGGAACTGAAAACCACTTCATACTGAAGAAACAGGCAGGAAAATGCATGCTGCTTTAGGATTCTTGTTTAGTCTATTTCTCAGACAACTGGGTAAAAAGAAATGCTTTAAGAATAGAGGCCCCAAAGAATTAAGCCATGAACTCTGTAGAAGACTTGCACATATGACAGATGCAGGGTGATTTGTCAAAGGAAGAAGCAGGAGAAGGTAGCTAAGCAGTGAAATTTATCGTTAACTGGAATAAGGGAACCCCCACATTAACACAAGATAGCAAATTTCTCCCGCAGCCACAGTGACTGAACTGTGCCCAAATTTGGTAAGAAAAAATCTTGATAAGGCAGTTACATATTAAAAAGGTAATTTAGCATCAGTTTAACCACCCGTGTTTAACTGCAATTAAGTGTTTTACAAGTTTTAATTCACTACATAAATGGCTTTTGAAACTACGAGAACAAGTATTTTTAGTCATGATTTATGAAACTATCAAAAGAACATCAAGCATAGATTAAATTCCTTCATTTGCTCCTCAAAATACCACATGAGGGTTTCCAGGAATATTTTTATACATTTTTTTAAAAAAAACTTTCTAAGAAAGCATACTGAGAGAATCTTAACCATCTCTCCTAGGACTCTGCCAGTAGCACATTACATGATCATTTTAGTCAGAACTCTAAAACTAAGAGGAATTTTGAAACGAAGTTGGCCATTGAGATACAAAGAGGCAAAGCTCAAGGCAAACTCTGCCAGAGTAATCAGAACACAAATTAAAGAACAAGCATAGATGAAAGCAAGTGAAAAGAAAAGCAGGAATGACAATTGGAAGAAGAGTGGAAAAAGGCAACTTTCTTCCTCCTGAGTTTCCCACCCCTTACTTGGCCCTTCTGAGGGCATTCCCCAAGAAGCAGTTGATAAACTCATTTTAAAATTCAATCAGAGAGAGCAACAAAGTCTCGTTTAAAGTACATGACTTAGAATCTTGATTAAAATATTAAACTTTAAAGGCAGAGGGCTACGTAAGTATTTTCAGGCCACTGCTTGAAGCATAATTTTACCTGAACCATTGCTAGTTATAGTATAGCCCTGTATTAAGACCTGAAATTAGAGCAAAGGCTGATGCTGTCAACAGATCATTATTTTTTCCCCCAATACAACCACAGAGGCCACTTGGCCTTGTGACCAACAGCCATACTCAGGCAGCACGGCTGCTATCTGTGACTTAAACAAGTACCAAAGCACATTCATTTCGCAGCACAAAAAAGTTGGCCCTTCCTGACTGAAAAAAATGATACCCCAGGCATTGTTCACCAAAAATATAGAGAACCACAGCCTGGTACTGGTCTGGTATTGTCATTACAGAATAGCAGTGGGGTAATATTAATCAATCTACCCCCAAAAACAACTTACAGTTAAATACATTACGAATTGAGAGCTTAACATATCAAAAGTTCAGAAATATCATACCGCTTCAAAAGAGTCACAGCCTATCAGTATAAAGGAAGAATATAAAACTATTTTATTGACCACTGTTCACCAGTATTTACAATAAAGTAAACAATATACAGTCTGATAACATTCAAATTACTACAAAGTTAGTTTTCACCTGGTCTTCTTGGGACCAAGTGATCCCAAATACTAAAAAGAATGATTCTACAGGTTTTAAGGGCTAGGTTTGGGTAAAGAAGATACATGCACATCAATAGTATAGAAGACTACAAAACATCTGTGAGTTTGTTTAGACATTCATTATGATTCTGTAATAACTATGGAAGTTTATGAATGTTTTATAAAAGCTTTTACCTAATATGGAGGAAGTAGTAGTATCAAATGCTCTCTCATGATAAATGAAACAAGTTGCAGAAAGCTTTTATTTACTTGCTGTTGATGCAAAACACACTACTTCAAAAAAATATCAAATTTGAATCTTGTTAGAATGTATGCTTCTCACATTGCTAATAAATCAAATTTCAGGTTTTAATATTCATATATATAAAAAAGCAATGCAAACAATTATTGTGCTTCATCTTCTGGGCATGAATGCCAAGTTAGTCGCTCCTCATAAAAAGCGATTACGATCTGAGGACACTTCACGTTAGCTTCTTTGGCCAGCACCAGATCTGCCTCATCAGAGTCTTTCCTGATGTAGAAGAGAGGGGGGTTTAAGAAAACGCATAATTATTAATCCAGTACCTTATATTCATACCAGGGCACTTTATTTTAACAACAGTGGGTTTCAGGAAGCATACGTATTCATAGAAACTTAGCAGCTCTTTATGCATCATAAAATTCTGAAGAGTATTGGCTAGAGATCAGTTTTCAGTATTTCTTTCACAACAGCTATCAAGAATTTCCACGCTAATGCCAAGATTTCATAGCTGTATCTTCCTTTCCTTCCCAGGTTTTTCTGTTTTACGGAAAATGCTGTTCAAAGGCAACTGTTCGTACTGTTACCAATTGCAGTACATAATGAAGTAAGTATAACTTTGCTAATTTTATTTTTAAAGCATAATCAAAACTTCAAAGTGAAACGCAGTAGCATCAGTCTTAAGAGGTGCTATTTACATCCAAATTGTATTAAATGTTTATGCAAGTAACTTGCTGCATTTTATACTGCCATTCCTGGTGCTGTCTTGGGGTAACAAAAAAGCATTCCAATTTGACATGCTTCAGGCTCCTTTTTAAAGTGTATGCTGATGTTACAAACCAGCTTTGTGCATCTATGCTTGTTGCTTACAATCGGTTATGGAAAAACTAATCAATTACAACTGAACTACACAAAAATATGCTCCTTTTTAATGTTTTCCTTTGTTTTATTCTGACAACTATCCCTGTTTTCCATATTTTCTTTCAAATTTCTACTTCTGTAAAACTGAACCAAGAGAACCTGAAGTCATTTTGGTTCTGGAAGAAAGGGGGAGTAAGTACTGAATGATTGCACAAGCTCTGTTTTTCTACAAACACAAGGTTAATAAGCAGACCACCAGCACCTGGCTGCTGAAATGAAGTTTTTTCACCAGCTAAGTGCCTGCCCTCCTGTAATATGGACCCAAACTATGGATGTAGGACTTACCATTTCATGAGGAACATGAGCTCTCCGCTGCTATCCGTAGCCCCAATTATCCGCTCAGGATCAAGACCCCTCGCAAACCCTCTTGGCTTATCAACCTATTGAGAAGTGAGAAGATCATTATCTAGTTCAAGATAAAATTGTATTTTGGCTTTAGAGCTAGATACATGCATTTGTCTGCATGCATAACAGAACAAAACAAAGCACAGCCTTACATAATTACAAAAGCTATGATTACATATAATAATTGCCTGAAGACGACAATTTCTTTTCCTCATGACTGGTCTTCAGGTCAAATCATTCAGATGCGGAGTAAGAATAAAGGAATTCTACACCAACATTTCTAGCAGTTATTTCTGAATGCTCAATAGATTAAACAAGCAATCTAAAATTCTTATAGTAGACAAAAAAAACAAGGATGGCTACGAAAAGCAACAAAACGGGCAAAGCCAAAATGCAGTCCTGGCAGCGGGAAGAACACATCCTTTTCAGCAGAACAACAGACTTGGGCGCTTGGCTTGGCCTGAGCCAACTGTGCAACTGCACCCACAGGGAATACCTCAACTCCTCTTGGCTCACTGAGATCGCAGCAGTGGTACAGAATATTACGCCTGTTTCCTTTATTATTTCCTCTAGTTTCACAACATCCTTTTTCAGACAGCGACCACTACTGCACTGGGTCAAGCCACACACCTGACTTTAAATACTACAAATAATATTTTGTTTTCTGTATGTCAATATTCCTTCTGATGCCTTTGAATGTCACCTATTTTTGACAGCACACATCCTACAGCTGTCTTCAGTAAACCACTGATATTGCCAACCAGATCTGATTCAAATTTTTATAGTTTGAAAGTTTAAAGAGGAAGATGGGAAGTTCTGAACACATTTTAATATGTACGTTATTTTGCACCTACTAGCACTAAGCTTACTATGTTCAATCATTTAAACTGTAGGCAAAACCCAGACCTTTACGTAAAGGTAAGTCTTCTTCAGCCACCCTTTCTACACCTTCTCCACCATCAAGTCCAGTATAATCTAAATAACTGCTTGGTCTTCACATTTTGCCACCCTTCCACTCACCTATTTAAGCACATACTTCACCATACAGGAGCCAGAACAGAACTTCACCTCGTTCCATTCATGAGCACTTTGCTCCAATACAAACTGACCCACTTCACATTGTTTGTGAACCAGTCTTACTTTTAAGTATTCAGCAAGCATCAGGGGACAATGTCAGAACTTTTGGTCATATAGAGGAATGGCAAGTGATCATCTTTTACCCACTATTTTGACAGTCTCATTGACCGCTACGTATCATTACAATTTCCAACCACGGTTCCAGACACTGTGCAATTTTTACAGTTTTAAACCCACGTTTGTTTCTAACTCTCAAGTCATAACAGAATTTTGAGGGCAAGGGGTTGGACAGACAGGAAGAGACACAGGAGAAACGAAGCTTAGTGCACAAACATATACTTACAGAATCACGTTTTTTCTTTGATTTACTATCATCGGATTCGCTATCTGACAAAGATTTCCTTTTGGCACCATCTGTTTTTTCTTTTCCAGCTTTCTGAGAGTTCAGAAAAGCTTCAATTAGCTCTGGACAATCTAAGTTTTCTTCAGGTTCCCACGTGTTGTCAGCACTGAAACATACACACATTTATGTAAAACTAGGAAAACAAGAAAAACACAGCACTAGCCACATGGCTCACCTTAAGCAAGCCACTTTTTTCTCATTACATAAGTCATCTTTCTTAAACCTAAGGATGCCTCTCATCATCTTTCACAACGTTCACGTATGGAACACTTGAAGATGGAAAGAAGTAAGCTCTACTAGCGTGAAGAATATTTTTGAACTGTTCTTAAACTCAAGGTACAGAATAAGCAGCTCTGTTAAGTCCTGTGATCTTGGTGGGAGCTCAGACATTCAGCCCTCAACCTACCAAAACCTACCTGTCCATTTAAACTGACTCCCTGCCTGGTTTCCCTAAAGACTGTCCATGCAAACCAACTATGCTGTAAGAGCACAAACTAAGACTTGAGGAGAACAAAGAATATCTAGCACCCACTGTAAGTGGTGTAAGTATGTACATCTAACCTTCTCTGTACCAGAAATGCTCTCAAAAGTTGTCTCTGAGCTTAACTCTATCTCCCTTGTTCGGTTGACTACAGAGAACAAGAGCTCCAGGTCCAGAGCTGGGTATTGAAAATGCTCCAGTATGTACTTTATTATTCTTATTTCTTTATTTATTTTTAAGTCATCCATGAATGTTCCCTACAACAATGAAGCACTCCATCAGAAGTCCTCACACACAAATACTGACACTGTACTACAGCACGAACAGGGTATCTACAAATTATATTCAGTGACTAAAACATACTTCTGCAACTTTAAACCTGACCCCTGCATACCAACACACTGCTGTTTATGTGCTCATCTTCACACAGATCTTGGGCTACAGAATTGCAGAAAGTTGCAATGCAACCACTTTGAGAGCTAGGCAACAATAAGGTACCTGCACACTTAACTACTTATGTTCAAACGCTAGGTAACAAACATCCAATGCATCCCCTTTTTTCAGCTGGTAGAGCACAGTTGTGCTTACACAAGGTCTGGGAAAGAGCCTGACAGGTACCTTTTGGGTACGTCTAATTAAAGGCAACCATGCCAGAGAATTCCTTTGGTAAATTCACTTAATTCGAGAGAAGTTAAAAGAAGGAAACAATAAGCAAAGTATCTGCCTTGAATGCACCACTTCAGAGCTGCCTACAGTTTAAATCCCTGCAACATTTATTTCTCAGAAACAACACTCATTCCACCCCATGTGTAAGTATACCTATATTACGACAACTGTCACTCTAGCTTACCTTGATAGATATTGACACAGGCTAAATCAAAGAACAACGGCAAAAGAATGATCACTGAAGACTTAGCAGGGACCCTGGAGCATTTTTATGAAGCATGAACACTAGGCTAGATATCTTCTATCTTATTTTCATACTCGACTGCCCCACTTGAATACATGTTTATGGATGTCCTCCCCTTTCCACTCTATAAAACGCATCCCCCACCATCCAACCCCCCATCCACGCAGTTATTTCAAACAGATGGTTAGCATTTAGCATTGCATCAGAAAAAAAGTACTGGGGAATGCCTTACTCTGTAAATCCTTTCCATTTCAAGTAGTATTCCACCTTTCCATTCACAACACGTCTGTCCAGGACTTTCTCCACAACAAATTCTTCAGGCTCTGCCTCTTCAACTTTTTTACCTTTGCCATTTTGTTTCTTTCCCATTTTGTGCTACAAAAGAAATTCAGATTGCCATTATTCGTTCTCCTGCTTCACACAGTTACTTCACTGGCCAAATCCAACTTTGGTCAACAAACAGCAAGGAATGGGGTACTTATTCACACTATAGCCAGGAGCTCAGACTCCTTTCACGTTAGTGCATGAGGTCGGGTAACCTGAGCAAGACATGTTAATATTTTGGGTTTTCTTCAGTCACTTAACGAGATACCCAACACTTAACAGCAGTTTTTATAAAGGTGAAATATTTTTGTCCACACAATTGGTGCCTCCACTCCCCTTATAAATTTCATTCCCAGAGTGCTACATGCTCGAAATTTTATAAAGCTTCTGTAAGTTAACTCTACGCCTGTGAAAGGGCAGAGGGCAAGAAACAGCGTAAGGCAGAGTAAAGAAAAGTAATAAGGGAATTGTGAAAATGCATAAAACAGAAAGGGGATGCTACTCAAAAAAAAAAGGTGGTTACTACGTTTTCCAAAAAAGGAGAAGCTGATGGGAGCAAAGTTTATGATGTAGTGCTACTATAAACAAGTATTCAATAATGAGTGATAATTATTGAACGGGGTGCATGCTCCAGGATGCATGCTAGGAGCATTCAACTACTGCAGTCCCTCCTCATTCTCAGCCACGCACCGATGTAACTTACATTCAGGTGTCACAAAGGCGCAAAACTTTATGACAGCTACACTTAAAGTACAGCACTTAACATGTAAATGAAGTTTTGCTAACTTAAAAAACTTTTAAGTGTTTTAAGTTTACATTTGATACTTTAAATAATATTCTTCAAAGTTCTTAAAATAAATATTACATCCACATCATCCTCAAGGCATTCCCAGTTTAATAAGGCACAATTTAATAGTTATAGAAGGACACATTTCAGAATTTCCTTGTTTGTAGTCTTGAAAAGGTTGGAACGGGTCTGTAACATCGCCATATCACATTTCTGGAGCACTAACAGACCAAAAAAAGTTTGGTTGCCATTTTGGATTGCTCCTTATAGGGAAATTGTTAAAATGGCAGCCATAAATTAACAGGAGCATTATTAAGCTCCAAGAAACATATAGTCACGCAGCACCCTAAATGAAAACTACTTCCTCACTAACACACTTCCTACCCATCAGAAGCAAACAAGCAAAAACCATGGATCACTGATGTTTATGGCATTTTCCTAGCCTTCTCTAGAATTAACTTGGGTTAGTTTGCGAATACCGTGAAGCAATTTTGAAACTAATTTTTCGACTTTGCTGAATTTTGTCTTGATGTGGTGAAAGGCAGAAAAAAATATCGGTTAGGTGCGAAGAAAACTGTCTTCTTTTTGTAAACTGAAGAAGCTGATGCTGTCTTTCCAAAGCCTACTCTTTGTGCTCTTCCTTTTTTTGTAATCAATTTTTCCTCTCCCTCCCCAAAATACCTTTACTCTGATTTGCAACTGAAGGTGCAAACAACGAAGTAAGGCAAGGAAAAGGTTCTAGTTTCCTTTTCAAACAGCAATTTTCTGTATACAATTTGTGTGACACTTGTTTTGATTTGGGAGTATAGAAGAGATTATTTAAAACAGACCGTGTATTTCCAATCAGATTTTAACTGCCTGCATACTCCAGGTGTATTTTGGAACACAGTATTCATGTCTGAGAAGCGTCAACTCAACCACACTGGCTTTTTTTTTTTTTGCCTGCACATGAAAAAAGAACGCAAGACTGAAATTAAATAAAAACATGAATATGCCCAACTCATCTAAGAAGGCTGCTTATTCCGAGAAATTAAAGTATTAAAAAGAGAAATGGGTAGAGATGAGGAAAACAGCAACAAAAAAAGCAGGAAAAAAGTGACACAGACTCACTATAGCATGGCATTATACTAATTATTGGCGATGAAGCAAGCAGGCTACAAGTGGAACATCTCAATCTGTGTTCTCCATTGGACTGAAATTCTCTAATTCTGTGGAATAATATAATAATTTCTAATACTGTTTTCAGCTTCACTCATTCTTGTCGCTTAAATGGTTTGGACTTCTGTATGAAAGTAACCTCTTTATTTCTGAAAACTTTTAAAGACCTTTAAGTATCTGTATAACCTTCCATAGAAGAAAATGAACATTATGGGATCTGCTTTTTTTTTCCCCTTGAAGTTCAGTAAGCAAAAGCAATGTCAAAGGTACGTTGCTTTTCATTTTAAATATTAGTGGATTAATTACATCTTCTGAACAGCACTACTTTCTGAAGTGAGCCTTCTTGAGCCTTTCCAACCTAGTTAATAATATTTAACTGCAGTGCCTGGAGAAATATTGAACATTCTTTAAAAATTTTAAGTTCTGAGATTATACAAGCCCATGTAAATCTCAGCTTACAGGCAAGCTTACAGTCATCAGCAGCTGACTCTAAAGGTAGAGATGTCCAATAGAGCCCTGAAGGGTCCCTTCTTTAGGGTGACCTGTTTTGAGCCTTATCTTGGGCATTTAACCACTGGATACTCATCTATGGTGCATTTCCCACCCTGCATTCACCCTGTATCTGCCACCTGTGCCAGATACAGATGTTCCTCAGTGGATAATCACGCTTTCTTAGAGGGGCAATATGAGAACGCTGACATGACGTTGTGGTGAAGTGTTTCAAGATACAGGAGGTAACAAAATCAGAATTACAGTTCCAGAGCTGAGCTATCCCCTAATATATGTAGGTTTCGCATGAACTACAAAATGAAGCAGAATTAGTTACGGTTCCCATGGGAACCATAACTGATTTTCCTGACCTGTGCGGCAAAACCCTGAACAACATCAAAATATTAAAAATACTGCATTCACGGACTCTTTCCCATCCCTGAGGCACCTCCTCCCTGAGCTGGCTAACCACTACACTTCCTCAAATTAGGGAAAAGCGGGCCATCAATTACTGACACAAAGTTCAGACATTCATCTTGATGAAATCCTTACAGCTGTTTTTTATCATATCATGTAAAGCAAGCACCGTGCTGCACTGTGAAGCCATGAGTTGATGCAAGTTTTTAACGTGCCTCAATCTGGGTCAATTAGCAACCATTTTAGGAAATTTAAGAACAGGCCTTCTGAGCGCATTGCAAGTCAGTTGTTCTGCTACCCAAATGGTGACTTGTGTGTGTGCATTCTTCCCTAGCTCCCTGCCTCAACCAACCTTGGATGCATCTCATGCTCTATTTTTTCAGTTCTTTCACACACGTGTATCTATGCATATATACAAAATATCTAGTTAAACGGCAATTACATCAACTTCTGCAACCAATTGCCCTTAAAAGTTCATATTTTAACATCAAGCAAAGCTTTACAGGACTTGAGATCCATGAATGCATCATTAAAGTGGTCCAGGAGGGGTTGGCATCTGATAATCTCTGCTCCTATGAAATTCAAAGAAACTGTTATTTGTTAACAATCATGTAAAAGGGCATCTTAACTACACCACATCATTTCCCAATAGTTATTTTTCTTCTATAAGGACTGCCTTTTCTCAGACAATTAGTTTTTCCTGAATAAACTGGAAGAAATTAAACAAATACATTACTTTCATTTCATTTTTACGTATATGATAAATTACTTGGTATCCTGAAAGGAGGATAAAAAAAAAATCCTTAGTGTTTTCTACTGTAGGACACATGAAATTGTGCAGAGCTTTTTTTTTTTTTTTGGTCTTTTTCCCAATGTATCTCTGCAGAAATGGCAGATTTGTTAAAGCCAAAGATAAATGTCCTTTCTAGTAGCCTTACTTTCTGGATCTGAAATTTTGGTCAGAACAATGCTGGGGAGGGGAGATGTGGATGTATCTTTTAAATGGAGATGCCAAGTTATAAGTTTGAAGAAAAATATGTTGATTAAATCCTTACATACTTTAGGTGTGCATGAACTTACCAATGTAGTTTTATTGGAGGCCATTTTTATTGCAGACTTGCAGAGCTTTTACTAGAAAAATGCATGACAATTAAAAGGAAGTTTACATTACTCAAAGAAAGGCATCCCAATACAAGCATGGTCCTTGTTCCAACCCCCAGGTATTCATTGCATATAACATTTCTAACACGGATTAAATCCAGAACAAAAAGTAGATTACTACTTTGTCTGGCATAACCCAGCAACACACTTTTACCTAGCCAGGCTAAATGACACTGACAAAGTGGTACATATGGTTGAAAAAAAGGCTTTTCCCAAGGCCTACTAAGGCACAGAGATGTTTCTAGGGAAAGGGGGGAGGACCATCAGGGATGCTTATTTCCTTAAACCCAATGGAACAAGAGTTCAGATTCTAGCAGTTAATTAAAACACATGCTTGGATGTGTTAACTGCGAATCTGGGGGGGAGCAGCTACACATCTGCAGTGTAACAGAGTCACCCATCACTCTTAGGCGGGAGTGAGCGCTGATGAACACGTATTTATCTTAATGCAACTGTAACGTTGCCTTCTGAATCTCAGGGTTGCAAGAACCGAGGTCCTACGCCAAAACCAGCTCAGCTACGGTGTGCAGATTTAACCTGGGCAGATTCAACCTGTGTCGGCCACAATCCATCCCCTTTTCCACGGCATTTCTCATCACCGGCCACCTCTTTTCGGCGTGCATTGTGTCCCTGCCCCACTGCCAACTCCTAAACTTGAGATTTCCACGTACGCCTGGGCAAGGCGCAGAGAGAGGAGCCCTCCGAGGCCGGCCAAGCCCCCCGGGCTCCCCGATCCCGCCCCGTTCCCCGCCGGCAGGGCCCGGGGGCGCTGGGAGCGGGGCCCTCCCGGGGCTCGCCTCGTCCCCGTTTGCAAGCAAGGAGAAAAGGCGCGGGGGGGGGGGGGGGGGGGAAAGGAGGGGGAGGAAGAGCCAAGAGCGCTAACGGAGAGGAAAATAAATAAATAACGATTAAAAAAAAAGGGAAATAGTGTGTGTGTGTGTGGTGGTGGGGGGGGTGCTGCACCCCCCCCCCCCCCTCGGTCCCATCGCACCCCACCCCGCCACGTTTCCCCCGGCCGGAGGCTGCTGGCGGAGGCCGGGCTGCGGAGGCCGCCCCTCGGCGCTGGCGGGCTCCGGCTTTGTCTGCCCGGAGCCCCCCTTCCTCCTCCTCCTCCTCCTCCTCCTCCTCGTCCCCCCCAGCTCCTTCCTGCCTCCCCCACGGCACAGCCCGCGGGGCCGCCCCCCTCCCTCTCTCCCTCCTTCCCTCCCTCCCCGAGGCCTGCCGCGGATCCCTCCGAAAAGGGGGGGAAGAAAAAAAAATAATAAATAAATATAAAATTAAAATTTAAAAAAAAAAGGGGGGGAAGAAGCGGGGTTGCCGGCCCCGCGGCGGGGTTTTTTTTGGGGGGGGGGGGGGGAGGGAAGGGGGGGAGCTGAAGGATACAGACTTCAATGGTGCTCGGCCGCGCCGCTCCCCCGTCTCCTCGCGGCTCTCGCCCTGCGCGCACTGAGCGGCGGCGGCGGCAGCGACATCCGAGGGGGCTGGGGCGGGGGGCGGGGGGAAGGCGGGGGGGAAGGGAGCAGCGGCGGCAGCAGCAGCAGGAGGAGGAGGAGGAGGAGGAGGAGGAGGAGGAGGGGAGCGGCGGCGCAGGGCTGGGCTGGGCGAGCAGAGCGCGCCGGCGGCTGAGGGGGCAGAGCGCACGCCGCCGCCTCCGCGCCAGCTGCGAGCTGCCTACCGTCGTCGCCGCCGGCACAGGAGGGGGGCCAAGACGTCTCTCCAACGGGGGGCGAGCGCAGGACCGCGCCAGGCGTCCAAAAGAAGGAAGATGCCTCGCGGCGACAGGGAGAGCGACTGGGTGAGGAGCGGAGCGGGAGCGGGGCCGGGCCCGCCGACACCACCACAGCCGCCGCCGCCGCCATTTTGGCCGGCGCCGTGAGGGAGGCGAGGAGGGCGGCGGGGGCCGCTCGGTGAGGGGGGAGGATGAGGATGGGGAGGAAGCGGGGGGCGGCCGCAGCGCTGTGCCGGCACTCACCCTGCGTGGCGGGGCGTGTGGAGAGGCAGGGAGGGAGGAAGGGAAGGGAATGGAGGGGAGGGTGCCCCCCGCAGCGCGATGGCGCCCGGCCGTGAGGGGCAGGGGCCGCGCTGTGTGTGTGTGAGGGGGGGGGGGGGGTGAGGCCGCTTTGCCCCCCCCAGCCCTGAGGTGCAGCGCTTCGGCAATTTCCGGAGGTGGGGGGGGGGGCACGGGACGCGGTGCCGAGCCGGTTCGGAGGCGCTCGGGCGGGTGCCGTCCGCCGTCGGAAATTGCCGAGCGGGCTGCGCGGTCTACGGGCGCTGCGGCGTTTTCTCTCCGGAAATTGCCGAGCGGCCGCCTAGCCCGCTTCGGAGCGTTCCGGAAATTGCCGAAGCGAGGCGAAGGGTCCGCTGGCCGCGCTTCGGCTCTTTCCGGCGGGTGCCGAAGCGGAGGAGCTCGGCGGCGAGGGCTCCTTCGGCTCATTCCGGAGACGGCCATTCCCGGCGGAGCCCATGACTTTTTATTACGTGATAAAAACACAGAGGGGCGTTACACAGAAACACTGCCCCTTCGGAGATATCTAAGCTCCGGCTCCGAGCTTTATTTATTTATTTATTTATTTTTAAAACCGAGCCGTCGGCAGGCGGGAGGAGGAGGGCGCTCGCAGTGCGCGGAGCTCAATTTCAAATTACGTAACAGCTCGGGCGGCCATTTCTGACGGGTTGCGCGCTGCTCCCGGGCAGGAACGCCGGCACCATGAAGAACATGGTACGTGGGCAGGGCGGCCAGCGGCTCCTCCGCGGGACGGCACCGAGCGAACCTCCCCGGGCCTTGGTTTGGGGGGGGGGGGGAGCGGAGCCGAGCTCCCTCAGCGAGGAAGGGGGGGGTGGGGGGAGCGTTAGCGGCGAGGAAGGTTCTGGAAGCGGCCGTTGGCGCCGCCGCGCAGCGCTGAGAGGAGGAGGAAGAGGAGGAGGAGGAGGAGGGAGCGGTGGATCTGCGGGCGGGCGGCGGGCTCGGGAATCTGTCGGTGGCTGCCGGCCTGGCGGCGGGGGCTGGTCAGGGAGCGAGGCGCGGCCGGGCCGCGGTGGCGCCGCTAAGAAATGGCGGCGCTGAGGGGGAGGGGGAAAATGGCGGCGGGAGGCCGGGAGGGGAGAGGAGGGGGGCGGGGGGGCTGCGGTCCTCGGGGTTTGCGGGGCGGGGAGCGGCTCCCGAGGGCTCTTCCCCCGCACAGAGCCGCAGCGCTGGGTCTCAGCGCCGCCCCGGGTGTTGGCCAGGGATCGGCGTTTCCGCCATCCCTGCCTTTTTCCCTTCCCGCCGCACCGCCGTGGCTGCGGGCGGCGGCAGCTGCCGGGCGCCATTTTGCTCGCCCGGCTGTGGGGCCCTGCCGGTCTGGGCGCCGCCACATGGCGGAGGGGGCCGCGGGGCTCCTGGCTGGGCTGGAGGGACGGGAGAGCCTTTTCCTTAGGGCCCGCCGGGCTTCTGGCGGGCTTGGCCGCTAGCTGCTGCGAGATCCCACCCACCTCCCGCCGTTAACCGTTGTGGTTACTCGGGGCCCGGCTCCGCAGAGCTCTGCGGACAGCTCGACGTGTTGGTGCACGCGTTACTGCTGCGTGAAACGCGTCTCACTGCTCTGATGGTCAATTTTGCAGTAAGGGCTTCACGTTTTGCAGTCCTGTGAAGCGTCGGTTTAAGGCTACGAAAGAAGGTTTAACACAAACTAACGAAGATGCCAAGGAGTTCATAAGATTTTCTCTGTCTCACTCTGTTCCTGCCACAGCATGTACTATGGAAACATCTAAGGAGGTCTTTCTTCCAGCTTTTATACTGGGGGGTGTGGGAAATGGCTAATGTTTTTGTTTTGTTTTTTACTGACTGAGTGCTTTCATCAAGATTCTGAGAGGGACTGGCAAAATCATACTTTCCTTCAGGCTTAATACCGCTTTAGCATAAATTTAGGATTATCGAAGATTACTGGACACTGGTGGGAGTTCAATCCCAGACTATAGACAGAGTCTCCTAAAACTGATATGGTTAAGACAGCCCCTCTGCATTTTTTTGAGCAGCTGTGCATGTGTATGAGTGGAACAGCATGTTTAGGACATTGTCACACACAGGTTTTCATTTAAGAAGCACTGAATTTCCTTTTTGCCATGCTCAGACCTGTGTGTGTGTAGATATTGCTTCAGGTAGAGCATGTGCTCTGTGACAGGTGTATGAATTATTAGGAACTTCCCAGGGGTTTGCTACTCTGTTTAATGTTTACTAGTAATGTGTGGTATGTTTGCCTTTTAAAAAGCAAGTGTAGTTGTTACAGCCATCTCAAAGATGGCGTTAGTTTTTGAAGCTATTGAATTAATATTTTTAAAAGTAAGTCTAATACTTATTGGAAGAATTGCTACGCCTTCTAAATTAGTCTGATTACTCACCCTTTTTATCCTAGTTTTGTTACTAGATATAAAAGAATTGATTTTATAGGGAAAAGTGTCTCTTGTGGGCCTAGGAAACTAGAAAGTAGTCCCTAATCTTCAAGCAGTTGTACTGGAGCAATTTAAAGAGAGGAAGTTTTTTGGCAGTTAGTTGTTTTTGTTTTTTTTTTTGACATTTTAAGCAATCATTGCTTGAAATTTCTCTGCTAGTCTGCTCAAACTAGAAATGATGGTGTGGCTTCAGACCAAGTGTGGTATGCAGCATCCTTTCCTTTATTCATTTAGGAGATGATATGAAAGGAGGCTTCATGTAGCATGGGTTTGTTGCTTAAAAACTCAATCTGATCTAATTTTAGTCATCTGCACAGTGAGGAGATAGTAGTAGCTTCCTGCGTGTTTCTTAGAAGAAAAAATACTTGGAATCTGCTGTTGGATGTCGTGCTTTTAAGTGATACTGAAATCGAATTTTCTCAAATGTAGTAGTTAATTGGAAGGAAAAGAATGGATTTTATAACAGTTTGAGTTCCTTGTCAGCTGGTAATAGGCCAATAACAAAAACTGAGGGGATGTTGTTGTCTCTGGTAATGGTGTTGTTCCATGTTACGTGTTTTACATCATGCCTACCTTTGACAACCTCTGAAACCATGTTGGTCTTCCTGTGGGCTGGCTTAATGCTTTTGAAAGCATTTGTGCACCGCACTTGTTTACTAGATGTTACTTTTTTTAAAAAAAAAAAAAAAAAAAAAAAAAAAAGGCAAATGTTCTTCATTTTTAGAGTGACCAACCAATATGAAACTGATGTGATCTTTGCATTTGCATTCTCTTGGGATTAAACCTGGCAGGACAGTTGACTATCAAACAAGATTATGAAATTATTACGTTCTGTGAAAGAGGGTTAATATTCAGTGCTTTTTTTTTTTTCATTTTGTTATTTGATGTGTGGACAAGTGAAATCCGTGATACAGTGGTATTCCTGTTACAGTGATGTGATATCTTCTTAGTATATTTTTTAGAGGGTTGGAAGGTTGATGTTTTAGTGTTACAGTACGGCATACAAAATAGTAAATGTAATACCTTCTTACTGGTCTTGGGCTTTTTCAAATGATACAGTTGTCATCATAGATGCAATTCAAATGGGTTTCTGTTATTTCTAATGAGGACACTTTGGTACTTTGGAGTGTTTTTTTCTCCAACGCGGTTTTAAAAGGTGTCTAATACAGGTCTTTGGGAGGACTTTTCTCCTGGAAATATTGAAATTTGGCCCTTTGCTTTTAATATTTGGAGGAAGAGATGGAAAGAGAAGCACATTATTAAGATCTGTTTCATAAAGTTGGACCCAGAGAATCGTGTATGTTGCTTAATTTCTTGAATACTGGTAGAATGCTTTGAAGAGCCAAACCTAATTTTGGGAAACGTCTCTTAGTGAAAGTTTTTGACTTCTAAGGAGGTCTTTCTTATTGTCTGATTATGCTGGTGCAGGCAAGTATTGTAAATCACATTAACGTAATCGTTTTCTCTGTGATAGAGGGAAAAGGAGCAGTTCCGCAAGCTGTTCATTGGCGGCTTAAGCTTTGAAACAACAGAGGAAAGCTTGAGGAATTACTACGAGCAATGGGGCAAGCTTACAGATTGTGTGGTAAGTTATATTAGTGCACAGCGATGACATGGAATTTGTAGAAATTGTAAAAATGGGGAGTTGTTTTTTGAACAACTTAACGAAGAGGGTGTGCACTTTTCTTCAGTGTACGTACAGTTGATTCATACTTAACAGTGCATCAAAGCTTTTTGCAGGTTTCCTTTTGCGAAGTCTGCTGGTAAAATTAGCAAGCATTCACAGTCTGTTTTTTGTAAAATTTCTCATTATCTTCAACCACTTGTTACAACTGTTCAAAATGCACTTCCAGCGATGACACTGAAATTAATTAGGGAGCACATAGAGCATGACTGCATCTGCAACAGTGTGATCTGTAACCTTTGGCAGAAAGCTGATACCATGGTAGGCAGCCCCATGAACCTGGGGAAGGATGGCTTTCTGCAGCCTGGGATCTTCTCTATGTTTATTTTTTCTATTGCAGAAGTCGTTCCACTGAATTTGTTCAGGAAGCAGTAAATCTGTATTTCATGAGCCAGTTTTTAAGTGTGCTC